TGTTTTCTAAAATAGTGTTCAAAAACTAAAACAAATAACATCTAATAAACATGCACCTCCCTAGCGCAGCAGATGGCAGCCAGGAAAGCCGCCTGCAGCAATGTAAGAGAGCACTCCTGCCTGTCTTCCTGTTTTAAAATAATGATGTTTATTAAATGGCTATCTATTGCAGACTCGTTCTCTGCAGGTAAAGATAAAGGAAGCAAGTGGGGAGCAGTTCCAAGAAAGGCACACAAGGTCTGTGGACACAACATGACAAAGGAAGTATACCTCAAACTGAGATTCTGTTGTTGTTGTTGTTGTTGTTGTTCTTGTTAGCCTTTGAAAAGAAACACTTGAAACATACAGCATAAGAAATACAGTCAATAATATTGTGATAGGGTGGTACAGTATCAGATACTGGACTTATCACGGTGATCACTTCTTTGGGTATATAAATGTTGAGTAACTATGATATACACCTGAAGCTAATATAATACTTTATGTTAACTATATTTTAATAAAAATCAGTAAAAAAATGACACTATTAAATCACAGAATCCTAGACTTGTAGAGATGGGAGGTAGTTTAGACTTGAAATGGAAAAAGCTCTGGACTGGGATTCCAGAGGTGCTGGTCACACACTAATTGCCTAGGTCAGGGGTTGGCAACTTTTTGAGACCAAAGAGCCAATCCTGTCCCTCACAACAATTTAAAAATTATTCGAGAGCCATAAAACAAATAAAATCAACAAATAAAATAAAATGAATAATATCCTTTAAAAATTTTATAAATGAAACTATGATAATTTTCATTTTCAATTTTACTTCAGAGCCACATGTGCATACCCAAAGAGCCGCATGTGGCTTGCGAGCCGCAATTTGCCGACCTCTGGTCTAGGTGATCAGAATCAGTGTGTTCGGCTCTCTGGACCTGGCTCCCTTGTCTTTGATGGGAATAAAGGAGAGGGGAGGGAGTTAACACTGAGTTACTGCTGCTGGGTTAGGCATTGTGCTAAACGTTACAGACCCTATCTCTTTTAATGTTCACAATAACCCCCCAAAGCAAGCATTCATGTTTCTACATCATAGAGATGAGAAAACCCCAACAAACTGCCAACTCCCAGCCTTCCTGCAGTGCCGTGTGAGCTTCCCATCAGGAGGGAAGTGTGGTTCTGTGTTCTTGATAGTTTCTCAGGCTCCCACATGTCCCCCTTGTATAATGCATCCCCGTCCCCTCTATTTGACAGAGAAGTCTGGAGTCGAGAGAAGCTGCCAGGTCACTTTGGTAGCTAGCTATTGGCAGAGAGTGGTTACAAATGTTTTTGTTTTGTTTTGTTTTGTTTTGTTTTGTTTTGTTGTTGTTGTTCAGTCTAGGCAGGGAGTAAGTGGCTGACTGAGGTAGAACCACACACTTTTGTTTTATTATTAGGTGACGATGTCAAAATGAAGAC